TACGTTTGAGTTAGTATGCCGGTATTATATATATGTATGTTGTCGTGTCAAATATGTTGAATGTAGTTTTGCTCATTCCGGTGGGAATCTTGAGTGCAGGTGTGACTACCTTTAGGCGTATGGTATTATATAAAACCAGGGTTTTCAAGTGTGTACGTTGATGTGAACGGATACATGAATACATATATGATGACTCATACGGCTTCATACTGTGCAGTTACCTTTAGATTTTGGATTGCTTATGCTGGTGCAATGAGCTCTCTACCTCACTCTCTACCCAGTATATACCAATCGAAAACCCTAAACCCTATATCCTAAATCCTATATCCTTGGCATACCCACCCCTCCAACAGCCGAGTATGATTTCGAAATGGAGACAAAGGATGCGATCGAGGTGGGCCGAAGAGCCATTTTCCAGGCCACGCACAGAGACGCCTACTCTGGTGGTCAAGTCAACGGTGAGTGCTAGGGTGGTAGTACGGTGTATAGTGAAGTAAGGGGCTTTAAAGGTAATCCCTGATTTGGTTGTGTGCGTATGAATACGTGCATATATACGTTATACGAATCACTTGCACACCTACACCATGTATGTGTTCTAGAACGTGGTTGAGCGTATAGAGGGACATATCGCATACACTACTACATACATGCATCATAGTATTTATAGGCTATATTCGAGGTGAATGCTTGGTGTATGCATATGTACACACTCATCTGTTGGCATAGCTAACTTCCTGATACTCCAGTATAACACCCACTCACCTACACTTACCTTGCAATTCAACGTACAGTCTACCACGTCAAGGAAGAAGGCTGGGAACGTGTGGGCGGCTACAATGTACTGGATCTCTACTACGAATATGAAGATCTTCGCGCAAGAAAGTAGATAGTACAACGCCGCTATTAATACCCATGATAACCGCACCACTTGTAATTTTTTTTGATTAAAGTTCAGAGCAGAAACAAAAGTAAACGAGTAGTTGTCTGCATGGTGCAACACAGATCTTAAGTCTTGGCCCATCAGCTGTCAGAAGTAAATACAATGAGCAAGTGTGTAAGAGATTTGATTCGTAGCCGAATGTTAAAAAAGTAGTGACTTCGTAGATCCGTCTATAGGCTCCTGTTGAGATTTGTGCAAGCCAATTGACAGGGCAGCATAGTACACTTCCACATCTGTCCCTTTTCCGGTGCCCCCACAACGTATATATTTGAATATGACCAAAAGCACTAGGGAAAACACTATACAATATCAAATTTCACGGCGAATGTAAATCTATATCTATGTCTTTGTATATCCTATATATATATATATATATATATTCTCTGGACTTCCCTTTGACTCCTATTAGAATTAACCAATGAATACTTTCTAATAATTGTATCCCTATCGTAGATCCGAGGGTATCTCATCTTACATGGTGGAGGGCT